GTAACATTTACATGTTTGAAATAGTCATATAATTAAGCAATAGCTCGCGTCGGGCAGAACCACGCCCCTTAGCTGTGATATAATGAGCATATATCACGGCCTGAAGTGAGCTATTGCTTTTATAAAACGGTTACCAAGTGTGACAATATGAAAGAAAAATACACACTCTAATTTAATAGTTTTTATTAGTAAATAATGATGTTCAAAATAAAATAGTCCCTCCGTTGCCTTCTGCACAAAACATAGTGCGAGGTGGTTGCTACGCAACAACACTAACAGCTAGCGAACATATTAGACAGAGAGCGTTGATCCATTATTTGGCTATTTATTTACATACATTTATTTATATTTACATATTTATTACGTATGTTGCCGTTTATTGTGCACCCAGTGAAAAACTGTCCAGCATCAGTAGCATGGCTTACGTGGTTACTTGTATAGGTTGAGGTTGTTCTCGGCTGTTGCTTGGCGTGGTGAGAATATTGCTCCACTTTCTCCGGTCTCCGAGATTGGGCTTCCAGTAGCTCTGGAGAGAGCTTTCGCATCTGTGGCCACTAACGGTCATCATTTATCTGCTTTGTTTCAAGACCTGCATCAGAAAGCTTTTGAATGGTGGTAATTTTCCAGTTGGTCTGTCTGCTCTTCACGTAGCTCTGCATGTCGTCGTTTAGGTGCTTTCTGGAGATAGGCACTGCTCAATCCACTCCTCCATAGTAAGACCCCCCCGGAGGTCAAAGTTAATCTTAAATGTTTCCATTTTATGCTTTGTAAGTTTGTTTCGTAACGGAAGAAATGTAAATATATTTATAAAACTGACAAGTCAAATCAAGCAATCTGATTGGTCGATAGTGTTTTTGCGGACCTCTTTGATTACAGATTTGAAAACATTGTTGCTTGCTTTAAAAGTAGCACAACTCATTATGTCAAACCTTGGAAAGTATCTAGAAATCCCTGCCCTAATGCCAAAGGAACTGCACACTGAATATGTTTTGCCGTTTGATGTGTATGTCTGGACCGCTGCGTAAAAAGGAGGGTTTCTGCCCCGTTACTTCTCCGCTGCTTTCTTGTTCCAGTATGAAACGGTATACTGGTTTTCTCAGACGCGGAGGGATACTGATTTGCTGTGAAAAGTAACTTACAATTCTACCCGTGGTATACGCTCAGTATATCACGGCTAAGAACCAATCAGATTGCTTGATTTGACTTGTCCGTTTTATAATGCTATATATATATTTAATCTTAAAAACATTTCCAACTCAAATGTGCCCAATGAGGTAACTAGGAAAAAGAAGGTTGCTGACAGAAGACTGACGGATAAAGATAGAGCAACAATTCCTCTTCAACAGTCAAATCTATTTCTGATTTTCTATATTAAACTATTCATTTATTTTGCACACAATGTGAGAAACTATAGAGCTTTATGATATTAATCATACGCTTATTCCTGCTGGGTTTAATTACTCATTAATTAGTCGGTCAGACAGCTGTGGTATGTAAATGTTATTCCCCCCCGAAGGCTGTGTCATATTTCATTTCAGACTAGTGCTTTGAGACTGAATAACTTCTGCATTCACACAGACTCCCCTCGCCGGTCAGAGCAGGCAACTGCTGACCGTGATTATCTTCAACATGTATGATTCCATGTGTTCAGTTCACACTAACTGTGCTATTCAGCATTCATATCTTTTATGTAGACTGATCAAACACTGCAGATGTTGTATCACATACATTTATTTTATAGTTTTTACTTTAGTTTTTATTCAACTAATTCAATTTGAACTGCTGTTTAAAAAATGTCTTATGTTTGTGGAAATATTTGTATTTAATTTGATCTTTTTTGCACATTCTTTTCATTATAACATCTTATGAAATATTAAAAGCTTTGTCTTAAATGGAGCAACATTTAAAAACCCAATTTCCCCCCTGGATACAAAAAGTATGTTGATTCTGCTTGAGAGTGTAACATGGATTTATAACTGAAAAAAACAAAAAATGTGCAGTTTATCAGTAATAAAAATAACATTCCTTTTCCTATGCATCTCTTTATCTTTAATACATACATATACTTTGATGCAAGTTCCCTAAAGTTACCAAAATATACAGTTTTTGAATCTAAAAAACATGTATTACTATTGTGTGCTATTGTGTGTCGATCAGGTGCTTGACAAAGGTTGTGCTAAGCTAAGTCTTATCTTGTGTGTCATGTTCAGGAGATTAAGGGTGGTCATTAACCTATTGACAGCTCCATCACTGTGTTTGTACTGTACTGTACGTGCACGCCCAAAAACACACGCAATCACATTTTGAAATCCAGTGGCACGGACTGGCCTTACAGCGTTTAATCCTCCAGATCTCTCCCTCTTTTCCTCTCTATTTGCCTCCCGACATATTTCCTTTCTCATGTTGCCGTCTCTTTCCGTGCTTATTCCCAGCAGCCTCGCCTCTCTCCTCTCTCTCTCCCCCTCTCTTCAGTCCTCCTTGGCGCTCGGGTCACCTGTGTTGATTTACTGTCAAATCTTCCAGGATTATCGGTAATCCCACAGCAGTAAGATCTGTTTGCTGACAGCTGTGCTCCGTCTAACAGTGTTGCTGTTTCTCGCGCACACAATACCCAATATACCAGAAAAAAGACTATCTTTCTCCCCAGAAAGGAAATAAAAGAAACATGAATTTTCCACCTCGATGGATTCCAATCGACAATATTCGCCTCTCCTTTTCAGTAGTATTTTCTTCTGTTTGACTATAATAGGGGGCTTCTTTCTACTTTGGATTAGGGGGTTTGAGCATTTTCACTGTGGGTAAATAAGTATAATAATGGGTATATTCTCACCGGGTCACGAATCATCGCATGGCGTATTTCACCAAACTTTAAAGAATGCTGTTTTTGAACATTACACGGAATGACTCTCTAATAATTCAGCCATCGCTGCTCACGCTTCACTCTCAGTCGGCAGGTGTTCAATCTGATGACAATACAGTGACACATTTGTGAACAATCTCCTGTTCATCTTGGATAAATTGGACTTGAAATAGAAGATGACTGAGAAACAAATTGGACGACACACGCCTTAGACCATATTAGTTTTATTGATCCAGCTCTTCTCAAATCGGCAATATGGTATATTGATGCTATGGTATTACACATTGCAATCAAGTGCAATTTATTCACGTGGAAATACCGATTTTTCAAACATTATTGTGCTTGCAAACTATCCCCGTACTGATGGGGAAATAAATGAAGACACAACTCACACTGAGGTATACTCACCATCTTCACGCTAAAATGGCATGTATTTTCTAAAGCATACGTCAATAAGAACCCAAGTTCTCCTACACTACACCTTTACTCCCCTCCCTTCACTTCCTACCTACCAGTGACTGCAAGGCAAGGCAAGTTTATTTATATAGCACTTTTCAACACAAGGCAATTCAAAGTGCTTTACAAAAAATGAAAGAGATTAAGAAAATGGCATTAAAAATCAGTCATTAAAAAGAAAAGCTAATAAAATAAACATTAAAAGAAAAAATACATGGATAAAAGTTACAGTGCAGTTTAAGATATGAATAGCCTGGATTTAAAAGTAGTCAGAGTTGCAGCGGACCTGCAGGTTTCTGGGAGTTTGTTCCAGATATTTGGAGGATAATAACTGAACGCTGCTTTACCATGTTTAGTTCTGACTCTGGGGACAGAAAGCTGACCAGTCCCTGAAGACCTGAGAGATCTGGATGGTTCATAATTTAGCAGGAGGTCAGAAATGTATTTTGGGCCTAAACCATTCAGTGCTTTATAAACCAGCAGCAGTATTTTGAAATCTATTCTTTGACACACAGGAAGCCAGTGTAAAGACTTCAGAACAGGAGTGATGTGATCCACTTTCTTAGTGTTAGTGAGGACTCGAGCAGCGGCGTTCTGAATCAGCTGCAGCTTTCTAATAGATTTTTTAGTGAGACCTGTAAATACACCATTACAGTAGTCGAGTCTACTGAAGATAAAAGCATGGACAAGTTTTTCCAAATCCTGCTGTGACATTAGTCTTTTAATCCTAGATATATTCTTTAGGTGACTGCAAGAATCTCTTTGTAAGACACTGGTATTCTACTATTGTACTGTGAATGGATCAGCTCATTGCTTTATCATGGACACAAATAACAGCCAGTTAAAGGTAAGTTTGAGAAACCGGTTCGGGATACACTTTTTGTTATATTCCATGGAATGCTCTTAACATCCCGATAGCAATGAATATCTGAAGTGCTTTGACAAAAAATCCATAAAAAACGTCATCAGTGGAAGCCGTGGTACTGTAAAAAGCATGACCAATCATTTTAGCCGGCCCGGCTAAAATAACTGGATGGCCTACCTGCCTGTTAGCCTTCCATCTGTGCACAAACTTATCTCGTGCCCTCATTGGTCATGTGCACGTTCGTGTGTGTTGGAGGAGGGGCTCTGTAAGGAAGTGGCAGATTTTCTCCGGTCGTGTATTTTCAAATTCTAGCGCACTCGAGCTGGTTTCTCCAACTTACATACCCTACCTTTAAGTTTCATTTCTATGGTCACCTCCAATGCTAGCTTGCGCCGCTCCATACAGCTTTCATCTGAATGATTGCGCGTTGGATGGTGAGTAGTAAACGATATTGAAGCGCTTGGCGACAATTTCTAGGGGTGCATAATGACTAGGGAAACACGGAGCCGTTTTACCACACATTTAATGTGAATGAAGCTTTACACTCTACACTCTACATCACCTAGTTGGCTTGCTACTTCCTGACTGCGAGTTGGACCCAGGTACCCCTCTCATAAAAAAACACAGCTCTCAATTATCTTGGATTCAAAATGAAAACCCACCTGTTTCAATTGCGGCCATTTAACCGAACCTAAATGCACCTTACAATGGTACAATGCACTGTGCCTTGTTTGAATCTTTGTGGTTTATTGTACTTATTGTATTATCCTTTTGTTAAAATCATTAGCTAAATAACTCATGTCATATATTTCTTTCCAGGTGGTGTACAAGAACAACGATATCCGTCTGGAGCTTTCCCGCCTCGCCCGCATCGTGGACCCCAAGATGAAACTCCAGGGCGACGTGGTCTTCAAGTGTGAAAACGTCCCCACCCTCGACCCCATCAACTTCGAGACGCCCGACTCCTACCTGGCGTTGCCCAAATGGAACACGAAACGCGTCGGCTCCATCTCGTTTGACTTCCGCACCTCCGAACCCAACGGCTTGATACTCTTCACCCACGGGAAGGCCCAGGACCGGCGGGACGCTAAGGGCCAGAAGAACAACAAGGTGGACTTCTTTGCGGTGGAGCTGCTGGACGGAGGGCTGTTTCTGCTGCTGGACATGGGGTCCGGCACCATCAAGGTCAAAGCCACGCAGGCCAAGGTCAACGACGGCGCCTGGCACCACGTGGACATCCAGAGGGACGGACGCTCAGGTAAGGAAGGAGGGGAAATAGAAAGAACTGAAACATTTCCTCCATCAGAACTCACTTTTCTGATCTTACTTCTAGTCATACAGTTTATTTATAGCAGAATTCATTTCTGTGTTACATCCTTCTGACAGGGTGTTAACCTGCACTTGCACTTGGGACTCGTTATGTCAGTTGTTTTTATTTCTCACAATGGCTTCATCAGGAAACTGAATTATTTGCTCAATTAAAAACATGTTGCCTTTGGCATTTTATATGAATGTATGGGCACAGCCACCAAGGCAAATATCAAACTGCTAGACACAAGAATCAATAGAAATAAAGGGAGGCTTCTGTACAATATATCCTGACACTGAAGAATGACTAGTGTTTCCTGCAGTATCGCTGCGCTGACTTCACACTATTTTATTTTGGAAACTGTATATTGTATATTACATTTAAATCTTGAATGTCTCCAAAATAATAACGGAAACCTACTTTACAGGCATGTTACTACTCATAGTCACAGTGCTGTTTTAAAATGTTTTCCGTGTTAAAAGTAACCAAATCCAAAGATATTAAATCGACAATATGAAACAGCAAAAAGGAGCAATATTTCAGGTTGGAGTTTGTATTTGCGCCCATGCTATCGTCAACTGCTTTACACAAAACATTAAGAAGCATAGAGACAAAGAAACACAAAATAAAAGGGTATTTTAATGCATTGCAGTGTAAAAAAGTATTGCATGCACTGAAACACAGCATTGTCCCTTTGATGAGGCTAGCATGCTAATGTTAGCATTTAAAACACCACTCTGCATCCTCAAAGATCTGGCATGTCTGTCTTCCAGTTACAAATTCAAAAGAAATGTCAAAATGACCATTTATTGATTTTCTAATTAATTCATTGTTGACCTAACCGGACCCGAAATAATGTTTGTTTTACAGTACAAAAAAACTTTTTGAAACTTGCTCTTTGCACTAACTAATTAACAAATCTTTCCTTCCTCCAGACTCTAACCATTCCTCAACATTAATAATTATGATTAAATATAATGGAAATTGTATTAATTTAAAGACAAAAACCTTAAGAATATCTTTGAATCGCTGTATCTAGCTCCCCTAGCTGCAAGCACCAAACTTGTAATCATGTTACATCTTATTGTATCTTTGTTTCCTGCCTCACAACCACAGGATGACGCCAACTTCCACAATATATTAATTCCAGCGATGATTTATCACCGCCGATAAAGCCATACATTCTCTTTAGATAGCTTCTGACTCTCGCTTCCTTCCATTTGTATGTCCTCTGACCTCCAAACATGGCCAAATACACAGAAAGTATTAGAAGAAGATTGTATTAGAGAAAGGGGTTAGAAACTTCTGTTGCCTTGAGCTCCGAAACCTAACACAATCTCTGCATTAGGTACGATCCTCCAGAGAAACCAGGGTGTGTGAGTCGGCGCTACAGCCGGTGTTATATATCAGGTTAGAGCAGCCAATTTAGCCGTGTGTCACAGCCCGCTGCTTTGATTAATCACCGGCACAGCGCCTAGTGCGATAGCGGAGGAGAATGTCGGATTTTCCCGGGGAAAAAGAGGAATGAGACAGATATATGGATACCAGACTGAGGGATGGTTAAGAACCGGCATAATCACACCGGTGGCTTGAGGGAAATGTTAATAGGGAGTTGCAAGTGAATGAAATGTCCTGTCCCTGAAGATGTCCAGCCAGAATCTATCTATCTATCTGTCTGTCTGTCTATCTGTCTGGCTGGGAGGTGAATAAGTAGTCAAATGTGAGGACTCGTATTTTGTAAAGAAGTGACATTTTCATCTTTTTGCAACGTTAAAACTAGATATCAGTGAGGGCTGACAGAGCGGTAATATAATAAAAGCAGACAGTTAAGTTAAACCAAATCGAGGTACATGCATATTTAAATGATTCTCTTTTTTGTCATCTCAATTTAACCTTAACCCTTTCCCACTGTTTTCAATTATAACAACTAAAGATAACTCATTAAGAGCAGTTCACTTTATTTAAAGTTTTGTAAAAGAGACACGCCTCACAGCAGATTCCTTTCCTGCTTTTATTATTATACTTTTTTTTTTTTTTATAATTGTATTTTTACTTTAGTACTTAGTTTACTTTACATTAAACATTTCACCATGATGGAAAGGAATGCAATGAAAAACACAACATACAAATAATGTAAAGAATATTAAATTATTGAATTGATGAAACATGCGTTTAATGTCTTTACAAGATACAAAAAAAAGTTATTTTGATCACGTTCAATGTGTTGGAGCGATAGCCAATAGAAGTGTTGCATTGTGATGTCACTATGTTACGGAAGTAAACAAAGGAGTCCAATAGAGTGCCACAGTGACGCGTCCTAAACCCCGGAAGTAAGCTGCGCATTGGTTCCTTCGACAAAAACGCAATGCAATTCCTCCATAGGATTCTGGAAAATAGCTGGAAATCAGGTCTGTGGTTGAGACACATTTAAGAGACGGGTCACGTTTTGTTCAGTCGGATAATCTCCACATGTCTACCCTACTTTTATAATTTTCGAATCATAAATCTAATCGATAGATGTATGATCGATAGGTTTATGATTAGAAAATTCAAATGTTTGTCGAAGGAACCCATGCGCAGCTTACGTCTGGGTTTTAGGACGCGTCACTGTGGCACTCTATTGAGGCGTTTCAGGCAGGGGGCAGACTATTGACATTCAACAAATCCTATATAACACACTACAGGAAAGGTCAACACCCCTAAGAACATAATAGGGCCCCTGCATTTGAACTATGTCATCCCTGCATAGGTTGTAGATTTATTTGGATTTCGATTGGATAATATAAAAATATATAAATTGCCTCCTGGAAAACACCCTGAAAACAGTATAATTGTTATTTACTGTGTAGTCTTGGGGCTCTTTGTGTCGTTAGATCACAGAGGAGTGCTTATTTTGTTGGATGCTAGCTTGTTTTTTCCCTCACTGATTTTTATATCCCTGTCCCCTATCCTGTAATTTTATGACTCAAATAGAGTTCCCCTGAAGAGGTTGTTACCGAGTCACTGATCAGTGCCATTTTGGAGGCTTGCACCCCCCACCTACTCAGACTACAGTTTAGCACAGTTATTTTGATCAGCTTCTTTTATAACTTCAGTGCTCACATTTAGAGCTTCTGGTTGTCATTTTCACCTTTCATGAAAAAAAAGGTTTCTGTCAGTCTCACATTCAGTTTGAGAATTTGTATTCAGTCTAAAAATGTCATTTCAGCAGAAGAGCCAAATATTGTGATAAATGTCACTTTGTTTTTCAGAGGAGTTCCTGTTATTTCACAAACTAGACTTTTATAGTGATGTTTCCGGCAGCGAGCAAAATATGACGGATCACTTAACTGGTAGAACATGACACTCGATGTAAAAATATCAACAAGAAACAAGTGAGATTATCTCACTCCTCCAGCAGTCTTTAGGACTTTTTATAAGACACGTAAGCTTTTGTAGTGTTTTTGTATTAAGTGATATTTTTATGTAGCCTACTCAAACATTTATCGGCATTAAAAAGTAAATAAAAAATACTTTGCACACATTTGTGTTAAAGTAAATAGGACCCCTTTTTATTTATATAGAGCAGGGGTGGCCAACCAGTCAGAGGTTAAGAGCCACATTTGTTCTATGTTTCTGCAAAGAGCCACATCAAACACACAGTCACTGATACCGCTTGTTTCAGTTTTTTGTTTTCTGGAGACAAGATTTCAACCACGTCACTGATGTGATCTTTGTAGCATTGGGATATATATTTTTTAAATCCTCTGGAGCAGAGAGGAGCTGTGGATTATTGTTATTGATTAATGCATCAGTGTTTCTTAGGGTCAAAAACACTAAACTCACAACTTAAAATGAAAGCGTTTAGTTTATTTAATAAAAGAGCACATGTTCAATGTGAAAAGTGACAGTAGTTATAGATTATTTGGAATTTGGTGCTATATATATATATTTAAAAAAAAAAATTATATATATTTTTTTAAACACCTTGAATTTCAGGGGGGGGCGCGGGGCTCCGTTGGTGGGGCGCAGCGCCCCTCCAGGACAATGGTAGGGGAAACACTGGATAGTGTTTAATCAACGATAGGTTTCCCCCCCTCAAATTGGTTCACTGCATCGCAGGTATTATTGTGATTGGCTCTTGGGCCACATCAAAATTAGATGCGCTGTCATCCTCTCATACTGACACCTGACACCACACATACACACGTAGGGAGAGCCGGGACGAAAGTAACACGGGACGAAAGTAACACGGGACGAAAGTAACGGAGCGATTTTATCCGTGCCCAAACAACTTTGACCGGCCAAATTACGTCAGAATTATCAGCATTCAATACTTAACAGACCTACTAAATATCAGGTTTAACTGTCAGGAGTAGTGTTGTCACGATACCAACATTTTGGTTTCGATACCAAGTCAAGAATTGCGATTCCGATTCTTTTTCGATACTTTTCTTAAAAAAAGGGAAACAGTATTAAATGTAATTTATTGTGCTTTATTTCACACCCGCACCATAACACAAACTTTTAAACAATGAGAACAATAAATAAAATAAATGACAATAATTTGTATTAAATACAATTAATACATGTCTCACAGACAGGCCTCGTGGTGTCCGTAGGCTTGCCCTCACTGTCAGAGATATAGCTCAAATACTTCCAAATGTAGCTTCTGGCGTCTTTTTTGTCAACAAGCCGAGGCGCAGCGGCAGTTGCACTCCCACTTGCAGCCATGCTTCTCGTTTTCTCACATGCTCTGGCAGCTAGCGCGTGGCCGCGTGCACGAGAGAGGGGAGGGACTTAGAGCGTGCTTGAGAGGGGCGGGACTGCAGGCACGGCTGCAGAGCAGGGAGTGGAAGCAGAGCGCTGAATACACACGGCTCTTATTAAAACGGCGCTTTCTCACCGGAGTACTTTCCCCCGTCATTCTTAAAGTACCGATACTAATGAAACGGAGGAATCGTAACGTTTTTAACGGCAGGGTATCGCGGTATCTTTCAAGTATCGGTACACCGTGCAACACTAGTCAGGAGTCAGTGTCTCTCCCCCAAACTCACACATATACAATTCGATATGAACTGAAGAGCCGCATGAAACTAGGCAAAGAGCCGCATGCCTTATTTTTTGTATTTAGGTACTCTATTCATATAGCATTTTGGATTTTTTTAAGAAATTCATTGATTGTTGGGAAAAAATACCAACTTAAAATGCATGAAATAACTATAAAGAGCAACAAATCAGAAAAAGAACGATTCATAAAAAACTAATAAAAACTGATTAACATACACTTATAGGATATAGTTAACAAATAATGGATGAATTGTTAATACTCATACCTTTTTATTTTTTTATTTTAATCTATATATATATTGCTAGACACTGTGATGTATGTACTTTCTATTGATTAGTATTAATTATTACATTTTCTTTTCAACCTGTGACCATGCTGTGGTGACACGAATAATCCTAATTTGGCATAAATAAAGGATATCTAATCTTACTTAATAATGGATTTCCCTTCCTCCTCCAGGCATCATCTCAGTGAACAGCCGCCGCACACCTTTCACAGCCAGCGGGGAGAACGAGATCCTGGACCTGGAGGGGGACCTGTACCTGGGGGGTCTCCCTGACAGCCGGATGGGCCTGGTGCTGCCCACCGAGCTGTGGACCGCCATGCTCAACTACGGCTACGTGGGCTGCATCCGCGACCTGTTCATCGACGGGCGCAGCAAGGACATCCGGCAGATCGCTCAGAACCAGAACATGACGGGCATCAAGTCCTCTTGCAGCAAGGTGACGGGGAAACAGTGCGACAGCAGCCCCTGCAAGAACAACGGAGCGTGTAAGGAGGGCTGGAACCGCTTCGTATGCGACTGCACGGGAACGGGATTCTGGGACAGCACCTGCGAGAGAGGTAAGGCTTCTTTCAAATCATTCCTCTCCGGCTGGTGACTGCATACTCTCAAAGTGATCATTTTTAAGTTTTATTGGGTTTGTCAGAGGGCTTATTGATTTATTTTTTTAGTCGAGGACTTTTTAAAGAGGGGGCAGCAGCTGTCCTCCTTTTTATTTGCAAAGAAGAAATCCATTTGGTCAGTGTGCTCCTGCAAAAGTCTGCTTTTACTTTGAATCAATACGTGTGTGTAGGTGCTAAACGTTGACAGGGGTTATAAAGTTGTTGGAATATATTTTCTGGTAGCCCAAGTGTTGGTCTTGAAGCAGTGGTTGATTGTTTGGGCCTCTTATTTACGTTTAAAAATATCTTTGCACTCATGAATCCAGTATTTATTTGTTTATCTATCTATTTATTAATGAATGATAGTTATTTTTTCTGAGACAACAACATTGAAGCTAACCACACAAAATGGTGTTTAGTTTACATATTTCATTTTTTCTAAGGAAAAGGTTAATGCTGCTATCTGCTGATAAATGTTATTGTTATATCTACCTAAACTTATTTTTCATTTATATGTTGTTGCCGAAGTTCATTTATTTAAATTATTTGGACATTAATTACAATCTTTTTTTGTTTTTCTACTTAAGCAAACAAAGACACTGCAGAGATGTTTTAAATAAGTGTCCTTTTAAATTCGGCAAATTCGTTTTTGAAATATTGAATCCCATGCAATATGAGAAAGAAATGATATTAATCTGCAGTTAGCTTCACTACTCTCTAAGTTCCAGCAACAGTTATTGAAGAACCCATATTGGTCCAACACTGCTGTGAAGTGGCAGTAACTTAGCCGCTATCTGCTAACAAAAGCTTTTCACAGCAAAGTGGACAGGCCGAAGTGTGACTTGAAACACTTCTCTCACAATATTTATGGTAGCTTTGCTGAAAGATTTAATAGGATTCCACTTTCTGCCAAGTGGCTTTGGAAAAGCGAATCCTTGTTTTCCCTTTGCTGTGGAAGGCTTGTGCGATGCAATTGAACTTCTCTCTGCTAGTGATTTGGACTCCTAGTGTGGATTTTAAGAGCTTCGACGCATTAAGCTTTTATGAGACGGCGGAGATAGGATCTATTGTTCGGATTGTCCTTCACTTTTTCATAATTTTACCAAGCTTTGCCAAGTAGAGGGCTTTTAGTACTTTCCAAATAACTTGAGGTGTGTAAAGAAATTAACTTGGAGGAGGAATAATGAGTGTCTGGTGAGTCGGTTGGTACAACCATCAACAAGTGTGTTTAGATGAGGCTGGCAGGATGCTAACACGTTGTTAATGAGGATCAACGTTTAGCTTCTGTTTGGAACGGTCTGAGCTATAAATACCAAGAAATATCCTTCCTGTGAACCTCCTTTAATAATGAAACTCATGTTGAATGTATGCAGGGCCGGCCCTATACTTTTGGGGGCCCTAAGCGAGCTTTGGCTTGGGGGCCCCCCTCACTCTAGCGCGTTCTCACCACACACAACACGGAACCAACTTTTGTCTTATGATGTTAGCATAAGCACACATATTGTATAAATAAGCATGTAAACACTGTGGACCTAACCTCCTCTAGGGGGGTCCTCACCTCCTCTAGGGGGGTCCGGGGGCATGCTCCCCCGGGAAGATTTTTTTTTAAATATTGATGTTAAAAGCATCAATCTGGTGCACTTTGAGAGCAAAATTAAGAGATCTATGGATACATCTCTCAACACCCATATGAAACAGAACTGTAAACAGATTTTTCTTTATGGATATTTTACAAATCACTTAAACTGTGTTCTTGTTTTGTCATATAGTATTTCATAACTGTTTTTCATTTATTCTCTCTGGCTGTCCATCTCATAATGTTCACATATAAACTAGCTATCAATAGGAATATCATTCAGAAGAATTATAATTTCTTGCAAATATCTGTCACAAAAAGAGGTTGTACATTTAAATTAAGGTGTTGTTATGGCAACGTCAGTGGCCAAACAGCCACATTTACTGCTGCAAATACGTTCAAACATGCTGTTGACACGTAAAGCAGTGGCAACTATGCCACCACTTCAGCTGACTTTTTCTTAGAAATACTGTCACATAACATCCATATATTTCAGTGCTAGGTTGATGCTTAGCTAAGCTAACTATGAAACACTTTAACTGACAGGACTCAGAATCAACTGTGTACTGTCAGGTAGCTTCTAGCTTCATGTCGAACAGTAAGTCAACATTTCCCAGAGCTTTCTTTGAAATCACCAGGTAACGCTAAAAAACATTACATTTAGATTGTATGACAAAGTGTTTATTTAATATATCTGGCTAGCTATAGCTACTTGCTAACGGTTTAGCTTACCCCCGCGGTTCAAAGTAACGTCAACGTAGCTGTAATGTATGCTTTGCTTACATGTTCGCATAACTTGGAAGTTTACTGACATTTACATACCTTGTTTACCTGGCTCAAGTGGTGGCTCTGGGGTTGTTGTGTGAGCCACCACTTGAGAATTGTCGTATTTTTTAAGAAAATGTTTTCTTATGTCCATCTTCAAAAACTCTGAGTCCCACTGACAGTTTATTTTAAACATTGTCACAGCTCACAGGATAGGTACCTGTCAGCCAATAAGACAGATGTGTATTTCCATTCAACTCTCTGGTTGGTCTGGTGTCTTGTCTCTGTTGCATTCACTGAACACGGGAAATTACAATCCTGCTGTCCTCTCTTGTGTCATGATGAGGTTCAGGTAAAGCACGGTTAATGTATTATATTATTGACTCAATAATATAATACATTACTTTGAGAGTAGGCAATCTAGGCATATTAACACAATTAATTAAACATACTTATCATGGCGACGGTGTACTGAGATTTTTTATTTTTTAAATAAAATAAAATAATTTTTTTGTTTTTTTTTTTGTTGCTAGAAGGCCCCTTAGTGGCTGCGGGGCCCTAAGCGGCCGCTTATGTCGCTTAATGGGTCGGGCCGGCTCTGAATGTATGTAACATAGAGTACATGTCTGTGGAAGAGCTGAACTTCCATTGGGAGCCCAGTTATGAGGCTGATTCATCTCATCCGGTTAACCTTGTCTTAGCCAGACTCTTTCTATCTATATTTTATCAGCACAAAGGGGAAAAGGTCAGCGTTCTGTCTAAGAACCCGCATGAAGAAAAAATGAATTATTATGTCCCTAATGCTCGATACTCTTCTTCCTCTGTTCTGTTTCTGTCCTCCGATCGGCCGTACCTCTGCATTCAGTGAGTGATGTAGCCGCTGGGTGATAACCTGTAGAACAAAGCTTCAGTCTGGGCAGATCCGGATTTTTTTACTTTACAGAATGAGATTTGAGGAGTGGTGAAATGTGCCGATGTTGCTCAAGCTGTCATGGATACATTCCTCTGCATTTTTGTTTCTTGTTCATAGACTAGCTGATTCCTCCTTGTTTAGTTGGTATATTGCTACAAATTGAGTTAGTGTGCTAGAAATTGTTCGAAAACACAATAACCAAAAATGTGCGACTCTTCAATTTAACTAATTATGAGGAGTACAGTGCAATAGTGGAACTCAGATCACTTAATCATTAACCAGAACAACAGCTTCAAAATACTTAATTTCTAGTACAGGTCCTTCATTCCAAATCCTATGGAATTAAAAGTACAGAAGCATTACCATAAGCTAAGGTTCTCTATCTAGAGATTGGAACCCTCAAAATGGTAAAATAACTACTCAAGTAACTTGCCAGTATGTTAAAGATGTACTTAAGTTTAGATTGGCATATTGGATTATCTTCTTACATTTTATGGTTTCAATGATTAAAAAAAAAAAAAAAAAGGTATCAATGTGTTTCTCAATCCAGCATTGGCAACTGTTAGCCCAACGACTATAATTTATTTTATATGGAAGTTTTAAACCACAATAGTATTACCTGTATCACATCTAAGGTCATTTTCCGCCCCTTCACAGTTTTTCAGAGCATCCTTTTTGGCCTTATCTTCTTTAGGACAGGGCAGCCTATATGTTCCTCCCCTAGCTCTTACTGTGGAGCAGTGATCAGTACTCTGTTCTGGCTCTGAAGCTACAGTTACTGTCAGTGCAGAAGCTCAGCAGCTTGATACTGGAGCCCCCTCGGTTTGCTGCACGGCTCTCTTTCTCACGTAGAGCAAGACTGGCCATCCCGTGGAGGAATCTCATCTCGGGCCGCCGCTTGTGTCAGCGATCTTTCTTTCCTGGTCACTGCCCAAAGCGTATACCACAGGTAAAGAAAAGTGAGCGGTAAATTGAGAGCTTTTATTCCGAGCGCCCTCTTCCCCGCCACTGTGAAAACATCCTTCAGTGACATTTTCCCTTCTGCTGTTATAAAACGCTTTATCCCAGCAGCGACTTCCCACAGCATTCCACCTTTCCCTGCCCTCAGTCTGACCCTCAGCTGCAGTCGTGCACGTGGGAGTTCACAGTCTGATTAAACGGGGGCGACAACATCATCTGCAAATAGCGCAAGGTCTGGATGTGGGCAAACTAATTTGACAAATTAGTCTGATTCCATTAGCTTCTAATGATTGCTCATATTGCAGTTCAGAGTAGAATATTGTTGAAGCTAATTATTGTCTGCTTCAGAAGGGAATGCACTTGAGATGAAGAAATTGCTTTCATTAGAAATGTTGGGCTTGAAACAACGTGGTATTTTATTTGTATTTTCAAAATGAATGCGCAACAATTTGGAACAAATGGAATTATATTACTCATGCTTTGTTTTTCCTCTCCTCCATGCTTTTAATCGGCCCCTGGAGCTCCGTAGGGACTATATCAAACAACCACTGAGATGTATCCACACATGCCGCTTGCTATTGATCCTCAGCATGCTATACGGTACAACAGAGGGTTGTACTAGTACAGGGGTGGCTAACCAATCAGAGGTAAAGAGCCTATAATTGTCCTGTGTTACTGCAAAGAGCCACATCATACAGTACACACAGGCACACATGCTGGGTGTATGTCCCCCGACCTCTCTCT